AATTATACATTAGAGAAGAAAAGAAAACTAGACTAAACTAAAACACAGTCCAGAAGAAAGGGCGTGATTATTGCTAGACTAGAAATTTGACCAGTAAGAATTATAAGCAATGGAAGCTGCAAAAGAGGGAAGATTAATAGATGAAGATTAAAGAGTGTAAGGGAAGCCATCTGCAACATAAGTTGCAGTAAAGTCATCTTTAATGTTATGTGATTTTTTTCATACTTGCAGTAATTCACATTATTTACAACAAATGTTGTGAATAGAATGAAAAATATCATTGAATAAGGATGAAAAAACACCAAAAGAGAGTTGTTTGTTATTAGTAATAGTGTTAACTGAAGAGGAAAAGGAAATAGAAACAATTTCTTTTAAGAAGTCAGTGAAATACAAATTATCATTAATGGATGTAAGTGATCAAATGGTTGAGTCAGTGATGTATTTAATAGTGGCCAAAATTCATTGGCAATTGGCTGCGGCCAATTATCTTTTGGCTATGATTTTGGCCGATTTTTGGCTGAAATTGGCCAATCATTTAATCAAATTCATATTTGATAATCTTTTTTTGCGATCCTTTTTGTTTCCATACTAACTTTCAATGGCAATGAACAAACGTAAAAATCTTTTGAAGTATTTTGAGGTTTTATCTGAAAAGGCAGATAAGTGGCATAATTATGCAATTTGTATTAGCTGTGTAAAGTTGTTAGCAGAGAATATGCTATTAAAAAAAGATTTTTTAATAAAACTGAGCGGATTTTAAACTATTTAAAAAAATGTGACAATTTTAAGACGTGGTTTTCTGAGGATGAAGTAGAAGAAGTTTTGGGGGCAAATGAAGATAAAGGAATATATGAAAATCAAGTTTTTGTTTCAGAAAATAATAAGAGACCACATGAACAAAAATTTACTTCAAGTAAATTTTTTTTTTTTTGTATTATTTCATGAATAAAAAAAATAATTGTTTTAATAATTATATAGATAAACGAATCAATTTGAAAACTTCTCATAAAACGGGACCACTTGATCAGTTTGTTTTTCATTCCTTTTTTTAAGAAGGATAAGGATATGTTTGATGATTTAGTTTTAAAAGCCACAGTATCAGCCGGAATACTTTTACAATGGGTAGAAAATAAAGAAGTAAAAGAACTTTTTATGTTTATCAATCCTACATTAGAACTTCCTGGTCGTCGTGCTCTTAGAGGTCAGATTTTACAAAACACTACACAAAAGTTGGATTCAGACTTAAAAATTAAAGTACAAAATGATCCTGTTGGAGTTACCTTATCTTTTGATGGATAGACAAATGTTTTGGAACAAAATATTTTAGGATCAGTTTTTGTTACTTCAAAAGGTGAAGTTCTGGTTTGGAAAGCTGAAGATGTTAGTAGTGAAAGAGAAAGAAAAGAGGAGGTTATAGAAAAAATCAAACAAATGCTTTATAAATGCAAAGAAATGAAGGTAAAATTGATTGCTATAGTTACGGATAGTGCTGCAGCTTATGCTGCTGCTTGGTAATTAATAATTTATTTAAAATGTATTTGTAATTTTAATATAATTTTTTTATATTAAATAATAATAATAAATTTTTTATTAGTCGTCGCCTACGCCTTATGTATTGTGAAATTGTTTATCTTCCATGTTTTGCACACCAAATGAACTTGTTTATTTCGGAAATTTTCAAAGATTCAATTTTATTTAAAAAATGCAATTTTAATTGCATCTTATTTTCATAATTCAAATAATAAATATTTTATTGGTAATTTACGCGAATTACAAAAAGAGCATTATGATAATTATATTAATTTAGCAATACCAGGGATACGCGTTGGAACAGTCATTATGAATGCTATCGAATTCTTATAAAATCTAAATCAGCACTTCAGATTAGTAAAAATTTTTTTAATAAAATTATATTATTTATTTAATTTTATTATATTAATTTTTATTTACATTATTATAAGTCATTAGCATATAAGTTTGAAGAACAAGATGTTTTAATTAAATCAAGTACAAATCAAACCAGTCGAACCAATTGAAGCAACTTAACTTTACCAACAACCATTACAAATATACTTCTTAATAATGATTGGTGGAATCAAATTCAGAAACTTGAAAATTTACATGGTTTTAGATATTTTGTTAATTTTTGGAAAACTTATGAAGATATTGATTTGAGATAAAGAATGCTTTTATGATTACAAAAAAGGTGGTAAGATTGGGAACAACCTTTACTTTTATTATCTTGGATGCTTCATCCTAATTATCGTTTAAATAATTTGAATCAAACTTTAAAAAATTTGAATCATGTATATTTATCAAAATGGCTAGTATATTGTTATGAAGCATGGTCAAAAAAAAATCTAATTCAATTTTACACGAATTTGAAAAGTATTGTGTTGATATTGAATTTCTATTTAATAATCAATCATTACAGCAATTTACTGATGATATCTTAGGATTTTGGATATGGGTAGGACCCGCAGCTAAAGAATTGGATTTTGTTGCTCAATGACTTTTTGGCATCTGTGTTAATTCTGCTTCTGTAGAAAGACTCTGGTCTTGATGGGTTTTTTACATACATCTCGTCGAAATCGATTACATGTAAGTAATTATAATTTGATTTTTTTATTTAATATTAAAAATATTTATTAATTTACTATTATAA